TTCGTTTAAGCAGTGAAGGCAAAAGGTGTGCAAGCACGGCAGCAGCTTTGGATCAGTGAAAGTGCAATGGCACACAGAACAGGTCAGTACTTTATCAAGATTCTCCAACAACGTCTGCACATTCATATTGGAATGATACTTCAATTGATCAACAAAAGGAGTTGCGGCGCTTTTATATATTGGTATCGCGTGCGAAACAAAAGGAAGTGGAGAGGGTAAATGAACCATAAATCACGCCCTGAGGCAGCAATGCCGGTTGTTTATAGCTTATGAGAAATATTACTGCGCTATAACTTGGTTCAATTGGAGCCCACTGGGCAGAAATTTCAGCTAGCACTGTTGTTTCTCATCGTGTTTAAACAGTATCTTAGAGTTTTTATACAAAACCCACGCACGTGACCACTTGTCCCGACGCAACCTTAGTTCATTTGTTTTGGAAGCCCTATGGGTGATTTTGGGAATTAATTGTTTCCCCCCATTTGATCATCCCCGTCACTTGGAATCCGGAGTAAGCCATTTCGCTTCCGATTGAAGCTTATTCAAAGTAAGAAGTTTCCTCCAAAAACTCACATTCACTTTGCAAAAGTTCTGCCAGGCGGGTTAAATTTGAATGGTAACACCTCAGGATTTTGTCTGCAGATTTAAAAGTTTGGACAGACAGTTATTTTGGCCATAACTTTTAAAAATCAATTATTTTTATTTTAAAAATTACGTAGTCGCAACATCTGTATTAAAACCTTGAAGTACTGAGAAAAACATCACTTCCTAAATGTCCAGCATAAAAAAAGTTACCAGTCCACTTTCGTAGTTGGAAGTGTATTTCCTGTATTTTTATGTTGTTTTGCGATAAAAAAAAATATATTACAAAAAATAAATATGTAAAGAAATACAAAAAGGTAAAAATGCTAGACCGCGAGCGTCCGTCCTTCTTTCCTCATTAGGGACCTTACGAAACCACGACGGCGACGGCAACCGCAACGTCAAAAAACAATAGGTTTAGTAAGCAAAACAACAACTCCGCACGTACATCACGCTTTTTTGTACATTTCTTTGCCGTCTCTGCACAACTACGACGTGAAATGACCAAATTTCAAGTTTTTTTGGAGGAAGAGAACGGCAAGGCGATAAAATCTACCATCTCTGTCTGAACTCGGGCGCTGCCCTCTCTCTCTTCAGTTCTAATCTAAAACCCCTTCTTTTAAGTAACAGGACGACTTCGGAAAATCGCGAAATGGTTTGAAAGGATGCGGAGTCTATTTTTCAGTGACCTATTTACGGACGTCGTCGTTGTCGGATCGTAAGGTACTGCGACCGAAAAAGTGAAATTATAGCTGCAAATTAATGCACAGGGGCCCACACAATCTGTCGATAACCTGTTCGTGAAACTGATTATATTGTAGTTTTATAGTAAATGTACTCGATTTACCGTTTGCCTAATCTGTAGCGGTATATCGCTAAATATGTGCATGGACCAATGCTACACAAACGTTGTAAATTGTAAATATCTTATTGTCCACACCCCACAGGGCTTTTCAGGGATAATTTACAACACTGGTTGGGGGACTTTGCCAGACTGCTTAAGGTGCAGTTTACAAGAACTGAAGGAATGAGTGATGATGCGGAGTGTGAAAGTGAGATAGACCACTACACCGGGCACTACGTGCCCTACTCTTTACGAAGAGTGTGTGGGTTCTTTAACGTCCCACAGATTTATTACATGTGCAAGGGCTTGTGAGACGGGGCCTACGGTTTATCGTCCTTATCCGAGAAGACTAGAAAGTCTAACCATTTGCAGATGTTATTACAAAGGCAACACTTTCTCCTCAGTTATTTAAAGACCCTGAGTGTTGGTCCGGCCGGGGTTTGAACCTACGGCCTCCCGCTCAGCAGACCGGCGCTCTCCCAACTGAGCTAACCGGGCGGCGGCATTGTACTGTACAATGATTTGCTTGAGAGACCGACAAACAGGAATTTTCCCAGTGCGCAAAGCCCAATGCCCAAAACAACCTTTATTCAATCAGGTGTATACGGTCACAGAGTATAACTGATGAATTGTGGAAAAATATTCAAAACTTGGTTGCGTGTTGCGTGTACGAAACAAAAGTATTTGATCTTGGCTTCTTGTACGAATTCGCACAAGGCGTTTTCGTTTCCTGCGTTCCTGAGATACTCTACTATGACGACAAAGAATGTGACTTTTCACCTCGTTTAAGCGTTGATATAAAAGAAGGCCGACAGTGTGGCTCAAAAATAGACCATGATTAGCGATGCACGATTGCTTCGTTAAGTTGACACGTTTAACAGCGAATGATTTGAACCTAGGAGTCAATTCATACGTACTTATGACTTAACACGTATTAAAAGTTAATTAATGATTAGGTTTCTCTTCGGGCTTCCTTTCTAAATCGCATCTCTAAACAACGACATTTGAAGCTATAATAGCACTGCAGGTATGCGCAGTTTTTTGCAAACTGTTAAAATATGAAACGATGGAACTCCGCGAAGCTGGACTTCTGAGGTAATGGAGGAAAGAGAAGAAAACGATCACACGCCATGAGTTTCCATTTTCTGTGAGTGAGACATCTTAAAATAAAGAGTCACTCGTTTATGAGAGTACACGATACTCGCTTTTCAGTCAGTTCGCTGCTGATTTAACCAATGTTCATGCATGACCATTAGTTAACCCCAGCTTATTTATCCAATCCCTATTAACTCCCAGTCCTTACAATGTGCGTCACTCAACAGCAATGAGCCATTAACTGGATATCACACGTAGCACACCTTGGTCGTTACAAGGCTTCATGCAGTCACGACACTAGAGCGCTGTATGGATATTTACACTTTGGTCGTAGATTGGAAATTTCAAAAAACAGCTCCTTTTTAGAACAATGTTTGATCTGCAGAAACCGTAAACATTTTCCCTTTCCAAGCCTTCCGGCAATGAACGTGACTTTTGACCTCGTTTTAGCGAGTTTCAAAAGTACGCCCAACGTTAGGCACGTACACTTGGTTTCGGAGTTGTCGAGTACGTATGATTGCTCTGGTATGATTGATTGCTCCATCGTTTACTCTCTCTTTCACTCCTTTTAATAACAGTTGAAGTGACTGCAGGTGAATAAACAAGCCGCGCCTTTCGAGTTGAAGGAAGCTCATTTACACTCTTTTTTTTCTATAAGAATATATTTTATAGGAATATCGAGGCTGAAATTTGCGAAATCTTAAGAATCCTTTAAGAATAAACTCCAGGCTGAGATTTTGAAAAGGATAATTTCCTGTGGTGAAAATCTGTAAATACAATACAAATATACGTTTTCAATTTATTCCTTTCTTTAAACGGCAAAACTAGCTAACTATATTTAACAAAACTATAATTGATACCTTAATATATTCTAAAACGGAAATGTCATAAGCTATTATTAAGAATAATACAAGAATATTTACAGCTTAAAATCGGCGGAAAAATAAGAATATTCAGCCTGGCCCGGGAAAACAATATTCTTATAAAAAAAAAAGAGTGTAATACGATAAAATCAGAAACGCTTCTGGATAGTCTTATGGCTCCCGAACAGTGGAAGAAAAATATATTTAATTTTTGATTCATCCCTAAAAATACAGACTTTAAGACGCCATTAGTGTGCTTATTTTCGTTTTTTTCTTGATATACTTTGTTGAGTGGATAATCATGAATAAAAGAGTCACTCCACGGATCACTGTACACCGTAATTACTGCCTAGTTTTGCCAATGTTCATTAGTAGCTATTGTATGTACAGTTCTACACCCTCCAATGTACGTCAGGTTAACAAAAACAGGTCATCGACCGGATGTTAGCACACACTGCTCGCTACGTAACCCATTTAATTTAGATACTTAAGAAGCCAGCATGCAAAAGTGCTGTCACGATATTCAATGCGAGTAGTAAACTTGTCCGGGTAGTAAGCTACATGAAGAAATTCTGAAGGGAAAATATTGCGAAACATCATAACTGTGTGGAAGTAGTGAGTTTAGAATTTTTTTTTTCAATGGCCTCATTATGGGAGTTCGCCCACAGAGCAGCTGACAGAGACAAAAGTTACAACGATCTCATTCAACATAATAAATCTACAATGTACATTGCATAGTAGCATTCAAAACAAACAGTACACTTAGAGAAAATGAAAATAAAACACCGCAATCACTGTACAGGAATTGGTTCCAGGGGCAAATGCCAAACGAAATAAAAAGGGCTTTTGCTTTAAAACCTATTAATTATTATTAATAATTTCTTCAGTTGTATATCAAATTAACATGGTGCGTTTTAATAAAAGAGTAATTTGTCGGGTAGGCTATCCAGCAGTAAGTTATACTCTGTACGCGTAGAAACTCACAGATCAAGAATCATCTTTCTTTGTTCTCAGTTATGGCAGATGGTCAAACAAAAAGTATCAATTCTTGTGCCGGAATTAGTTTTAGCCACATAAGGCAACTCAGGACCGAAAGGGAGTCTTCAGTAGTCATTTGTAAGGATTTTCTACAATTGGCCAGTGTACAGAGCACAAAGCAAGTAGCAATGAGTAGTTACACAAGTCGGAAAAAAGACAGTTTAAAATGGAGAAGATTAGTGCAATAAAGTGTTATTTTGTGGTTACTGCGTAAAGGTGGCTATTACTAATCCAAGTACCCATCTGTACCTAAACTCCAACCAGTGGTAGCAAAAGTAGTGGCAAAGACTTTTTCAAGAAGCTGTTCAAAGTGAGCGTTAACAAGAAACCGAAAACATCCATTAAAAGGCTAAGAGTGGTGATCAGAACAACCTATCCCGGTTCCAGGTAGGGCTAGAAAAAAGACCTCTCATGGCCTAACGTTTTTGGCTCATTTGGGCCACCCTACCCTTGGTGCCACAGACTTTTCATGCATGGTTTCCAGTTTCATTTTCCGGTTTTTTCAGTTTTTCAATATTACATGGTGCTATTTGTTTTCCGTATTTTAGAAAATGAAACTTAAGATTTTTCTCCGCAAATTTTCAAAAATCATTTCCCACAGTTACATAATAGTAGGAGTGAAACTGGATCACAGACCTATGGACCTATGTAGCAAAGATAATAAACATAATGAAACTGCTCTTAATAACCAGCAACCAGACAAGCAGTTGTTAATCTGTTACCGTAAAATTCTGAAAATAAGCCCCTCCATGTAAATCTCTTATAAGCCCCCAAAATCAGTTTAAAACGCCCCTCTGAATATAAGTAGGGGCTTGAAACTGGATTTGCCCTCAATACCTATGTAGCAAAACAAAGCAAAAATCGTAAATTTCCTTCCCAATACAAGCTAGCCCAATCGATTCTGAAACGCAAATTTCCCTCCGTACATAAGCCCCTCCGAATATAAGCCCCTTCAAAAATAAGCCCCTCAAAAAGGGCCTTTGAAAAATATAAGCCCCGGGGCTTATTTTCGGAATTTTACGGTATCTTGTCTAAGTATTAAAATATTATTTTATATACCTGTCTCTGGTAGTTTTTGCTAACTTTCCTTCTTCCTTCTTGTCTTGATCCATACCCATCATAAAACTACCCATACGACCAACCTACAAGGAGATACGAAAAAACAGTTAGCAGTCAAATAGTAAAGAAAAAATTATATGGAAATTCTCTGATCTATTAATTATATTGATACGAGACTGCTGTCTGAAAATAGATCAAACTGGAACGCTGAATCCCAGAGTAAAGTAGTTCTTTACTGTGATTCTGAGAAATAAATCTTATTTTGACGATTTAAGGTTATAGAACACTCTTTGGAGAGTCTCTCATCCAAGCAATGCAGCATGTTCAGTAATTTTGTTGAAAATACACTTTTTTATGAGTCTCTGGGCTCATCTCCTAAACAATCATGATAATATTTCCCAGTCTCAACACAATAAGTCGCAGTCCTGTTCACCCATTCAGAAATTACTTCTGGACATACACTGTATTTATTTTTGGTGGGCAGAAAATATTGCTCTTCTGACTTGAGGAAAGTTTTATAAACAGAAAAAAAAAACAAAAATCAAGTTTGCACACAAACACAATCTCCACCAAAACATGATTCTCCAGATTGTCTAATTAATCATCTTTGTGTCCTACAGACACTGTCTACTGCTTGACAGATGAGCCCTGGGGACGTAATTTACAATCAAGTACAAAATATAATGATTCACTCTGATTTAACTTCTTACTTGAGATTCAGCTTGCTCTAATTTTTCTGAAAGATCTGCAATCTGATGATTGGTATAATCTGCATTCTGAAAACAGATAAAATAAAAATATCATACTCACTTTGACTTTTGCCTAGTACACAGCACCTATAGTTACCATTTCATTAATAAAACAACAGGCCCATAAGCACTACTCTTGACATGTTTTCAAACTGTTTTTTTTTATGTCAGTTTGGTAATGACGAAAGTAGCTTTTGTATAAGTTAGGCTCAGCTAACTTCATGAACGGAAGTGTTCAGTTGCTCACACCTTAGATCAGAGTGTTTTAATCTATTCTAAGAAAAAGTTTTAGATACAAGTTATTAATGGTGTTTGTTGACCTCATATATCTCAAAGTAAATTCATTTTATAGGTGATTTTAGGATTAACAAAGGACACTCTTACATTAAAAAGACATTATGTACAGAACCTGTTACATGTAATCCTTATTATCTTATTGCTATTGTTATAATAAAAAAAAGCTAAAGGTACTTACTGTAAGAAGACTTGACGAAGAGAGTGTGTTAACCCAATACTTATTCCAAAGCATCTCAAGAAGCTTTCTGTCTAATGACGACTTGAAATAAGAAACATCTAGCGAGTAGTATCTGCAAATACCAGTATTGAAATCATAATTAATTCATTATTTAAGACAACATCCATTAGAAAATTAATTTTCAGTGGATAAAAACCTTGTACCAGAATAATAACTTTCATTATCATTCGAAGCAAATTTTTCTTTCTTTTCATTGGCCAAGAGCCCACCACGTGAACTGCAAATAACTGCCTACAAATAATGGTTTGCTCATGCACAATGCCGTCCAACTGTCTTTGGCTGCAAATAATATTCAGCACACGCGTAAAGGAAACCGTGCCTTTCTCCTTCTTGTGATCGCTCTTGCGTAAAAATGGCAGATCACTTTGCTTCCTGAGGATATTCATTAAAAAAAAACAAACTCGCTGATCGAATGATCAAACAATTATTGAACTCGGTTATCACAAAATACCATGATTTGTCAGTGTCTCGCAGATCTGCTCGCCATAGACAAATCACAATACTTTGCTCAACCTCGTCCAATAATATATTGTTAATTATTTAAACACATTGCATTCTTTTTTACACTTTTCCAGGGCTATAAATGTTATAAGACAGTTATAAGAAATAACTCCAAAGAAACGGTTCTTTTAATGTGGGAGCCCGAGAGAACAAACTTCACGAAAGCTTCAAATATCACAAAAAAAATCTTATGCATGATGACTTTACCTGTTTTTTCTTAATTCCTGTGAAATTAGAAATAAAATTTTCTTGGGTACCCATAAGAACCTTTTCTTAGGAGTTATTTCAAATAACTTATTTTAACTCTTTTTCCCAAAATCATTTGCTTCGGTTGCTTCTTAATACTTGCTTCAAGCCTGGTATTCCTGAACTAGTACAATGTACCAATAATTACAGGAACAAGGACATACTGTTTACAATGCACTCCAAAGTCTTCAATCTTGTTTAAAGGAATAGTTTGATATTCTGATGGCCCTTCATCTGGAGGCTTATAACCCTGATACAAAGATAAGAAAAATGGTTTTGTTTAGAGAGAAAAACTGCATGATCATCATCATGTGTAGTAAAGAAATAATGATATTGTGAATGAAAATAATTACCAGATGACATGGTCGTTAAAAGTGAAGTTGTATTTAAGACATTATTATTCTCGGGACATTTACATATCTCTAGCCAATGTTTTACCTTTGGATATGTCCTGAATGCTCCTAAATTTACTTTTCCTGCTGAAATAGTCCGTGTAGGATCAATCTAAAATGTATGATGAAAACAAAGAAATTTGCAAATTTTGGAAGTAGGAGAAAAGAAACTGTTAATTTAGCCAAGGAAACATATACAAATGACTGCATCTATGATCAGGCTATTTAAAAACAAGAGAGCAGGGCGCTCCACCTATTTGTTATTTCTTACTACATTACATGCATTTAAGCTATTTTAGTAGAAACAACTGCTCCCAGGCCCATTATGTGAACCTCTATTGACTGTAAGGGTAAAGTGTAAGTTAGAGTTCTTCACTTAATACAACTACTGTAAGTATTAATAAAAGCAATGTAAAATATCATTTCACAGATTTGCTTCTCATTTATAAAGTCCCTAGATAAAACAGGATACAAGACTTGGATGCACGTATCATTAATAATTTATTCTTATATAAATTTATACATCAACGGGTAAAGGTTTTTTAACTCTCCTGCAATGGGAATTCATTTATGTAAAATTTGAATAATGATTTATAATCTACAACTTTTAAAAATGAAGAACACAAGACTGCATATCAAGAATGTGAATTTACTCACCACAATAGCCACAAAAGGTTCTTGGAATTGTTGATTGACCATCTGTGTTCCAACATCAATTCCTGATAACCAACATCCATACCCTGGGTGACTGTGATACCATCCAATTGCATTCTCCAAACGACCCACCTGGTACGGACATGCACACACAATCATGTTTATAGTCACTTTATACTGTACACTGTACTTACTGGAACATAAACTAATTCAATAGAATTTCTTAGAAAGAGGGAAAGGGGGAGAAAACTGATTGTAGGATTTAACACTGGGCACCATACATGTTCAACTGTTCGATCAAAACTTCAACCCTTCTCATGCATATCGTTCAGAAATTAATGAGGAGCAAGAATATCAGTCAAGTATTCACTTTTTGTGTAATTAAATAGCAGGTTTCCAATCAAACTGCAATGGGAAATGGTTAACTGACCGCTTAATACAGGTTTGACAAACCAAAGGCTTGATCAAGAAAATAGATTGTGTCAAAGAGTAGTATCCATAACATGACAAGTTGACCTCAAAGTGTTTCTACCTCTGCTTGTGCCCAATGAAAAGGGAGTAAAACTAGACCACTGAATGCAATGCTCAGTGTATCTACATGTATTGCACTAGCATCTTGAGAAAGTGACAGTTTAACGGATGTGAAAACAACAAAAAACAGAAAAACTCCACAGAAACTGCGGTGACTGCGACCATTAACAGATGTGACTACTTGATACAGGTCAGTTTTACAGTAAGAAAACGAATGCTTAATAGAGGGTGACCGCTTAATACAGGTTTGTCTGTAGTCTTTTTAGATCACACCTCACCAATTTAGCAGATTCAGTATATGCTGCCATGTACTCATATGCAGCTGCCTGAGCATTCACTCTTGTTTCAGTTCCTTCTACAGGCAGAGCAAATGCATCCATTACAATCATGGTATCACCATCAACTTTTCCCAGCATAAGTCCCATCACCTCCAGGTTACCACCAGACCTGGCATGCATTACCTAGAGATACACATGAAAATGAAAACTGTTAGTGGCTGTTGATACAAAGATATTTAATTTTCATACTAAATATTTTTTTCCATTTCTGATTGGCTTAAATCCCCAGGGTGGCTAACTCTTCATAACCAGTTAACACCACCAAATTGGATGATATCAGCAAATATCAATGGTATTGATGTCAATAGGCCAGTCTTGATATATTAAAATTCAGTAATAATGTTTCATAGATATTTTGCACAACATTTTTGTCAGTGGTTTTTTTGCAGTAATAAAACAGATGGGAGGATATTTGGTTGATGATTTCCACTTTATTTGGTAGAAATCACATGTAACAAGTAAAAAACATGCACTGGTACCCTTATGTCTTCCAAGCTTATTCCTTTTCATCAGGCTTAAAGAATTACAAACAAACATCGGGTGAATCAACTTGATTGCAGGCAAATTTTCATAGGGAAATTGACTTTTGGGCAAAACGACCTGTTACAGCACCCACCAGTTGAGGGGTAAGTAACAAATCTTCAGTAGCCAACAAATGCAGAGGATTTCCAGTCGTGGCTAGACTGGGTTCACGAAACTGGGAAAGGAATTTATTTTCAATTGGTGTGAAGTAGGACAGACTCTCCTTGACATTTCATGGAGTAGGGATGACATAAAACCATTTACAAGTATGCAAGAATTGTTTTCAAAACCTGATGCCATTGAGAATTTGCAAGGCACATTTTGTGCAAACACACAAGGCATTTTCCAGGGGAATTTTGTTAATTTCAGACATCTGGGGAGTTTTGAAAAAAGAAACAAGGTTTCTGCCAAATGAATTGAAACACTACAAAGAACTGTGACAGAAATTTCTGGCTTTTTATTTCGAGGTTTAACTGTTTTAATCACTGTTGAAGAATTAAAGCATACTTGCTGCTTAGATTGGTAAAATGTTTTAATTGTGTATACTTGCTGATTTTATTTGGAAAATGTCCTAGTAACTCTATCGTAATCACTGTTTCAAAAGAACATGTTTGTAGACACACGAAATCAATGCTAAATGTGCCTGGTATGTTTTTCATCATAAGCAGAAATTGGTTAATTGATGAATGGTAAAAGGTGTGAAATTCCTATCACATCCCCCAACACATGAGTGGCAGTCACGTTAGGACAGTCCCTCTATTTTTCCTGCTTCTTCCCAAATCATCCCACAACCCCTTTAGTAATTTTGACACTCACCCTAGAGGGATGCCTGCAATGCAAAGTCCTCGATCTCGATGATCTTACGGAAAAATAGGGGACTGTGAACGGTCACGCCATGGCAACAACTGGAAATATGTCTACATTTGCAGGCTAATCTCCAGGGATAGAGTCAAATCTCAGAGTTCTTTAGAGCAAAAAATGTGGCAATAATTATGTACCAGACATGGTATATTACATTCCCTACCATTTTTAACAATGCCAAGGCCGAAATTTTTATGTTCTTGAAGTAGTGTGGGCTGAAAAGTTAAAATAAAATAAAAATTAAATTTCGCTTAAATAAAATAAACTAAAAACAACACATTTTTACAGGCTTTAGAGGAACTCACTCTTTCTGCCAAGGTTTTGCTTGGAGAATTTCTTGCTGTTGTTGGCGGTCAAACTTGAAAATTTCGTCCACGCTGTTCACTGTCTCGATATTGTTTGACAATTCCCAAGTCTTAAAAGCCATTGCGGTATCTCCTCCAGACATTTTCCTGGACACAAATAAGACAGAGACAGCACAGCTGGCAGAGGAAACAAAATGGCCGCTTTTACCCATAATCCCTATCGCACGTTAAGCAATGTGGGGACCTGGGGCGAGAAGGGAGAGGGACGCCATTTTGACAATAAGTTTAGTACTTTGCGTCTCTTCTTAACGATTCAACAATTCTGCGGCAATTCCTCTGGTTATTTCCTGCCTTGAGACAATAGTCAAATATGGGAGAAGTATATGCGCCATCAGTAAGTGTTTGGAATTAGACCCTTTAGACAATAAGCTTAATTTTGCAGTTTAGCTTCGCCGCGTGCTTATTTTTCGAATGTTTATATCACACAGTGGTCCCGACAGATGTTCAGTTCGCTAAAACTTTGTACAGAATACCTAAGCGTTTGATAGGGTGTTTGACCATGTTAACTTGACGTCGTTGATTTCACCCTTCTTCCTTTTTGCAAGGCAATATTTTGTCGAACTAAATACAGGCAATTGGTACATCAAAGCGGTTTGTCACTCCACAAATTATGTACAAAGCGTTGTAAATAATGGATGTGTTATTCAGACCTTCCCATCGCCAGCTGGTCGCAAGATCAAAAGATCAATCTGTTACCAATAATAGCTTGATCACTTGTGTAATAGCTTAGGTTTCTGCACAAAAAGAACTTAGATTTTTGAAGAACTCGATTCATTTATTGGTTGAAAACTGAAGGTCTTTTATAATAACCTTGGGATAATTTAAACATTCCCAAGTGGTATTCTTAGGGACAATCAAATCACTGCCCCAAAATCATAGCCCTCTACATGTCATGTATTTGTACAACTGTAACTTTTAAGAACAGTTCAGACTACAAAATAACCTTTGTTTTTCACCACTTAATTACATTGTACTTCTTAGGGTCAGTCTGAGGCGGCACAACTTCTCGCCACATTTTGGCCTCGTCAAATGCAAGAGATCAGAAATATGAATACTGTAAGTGACAGTTAGTAGAAATAAATTTACAGCTGTAGTAGATGAGAAATCCCTCATATCATAGGAGGTTTTTTATGTATTTGTAGAGATGCCCTTTAATTTTATTATCAGTTATGGATTAGGTGGAGGAGGTGATTGTTTGGAGGTTGGTGCTGAGTACTTTTCAAAGTGTTTATGGTCCATGTCAGTTAAGTGTCTGGTACCTTTAGATCAAAATCCATACAGCAATTGTGTGTGTGTGTTCAAATCAGTTTAATTAAGAGGTAAAAATTTCTTGCATTAAAAATTGTCAGAAGACAGAACCATACTAGTAAGGTGTTTAATAAAATTGGGTTTTATCAACTTAGCTGTCGGGATTAGGTAGATCGGCTGCAGGTTGAGAAGCTGATTTTTCATTTATTAAATCTTCATCAGGGTGCAAAGAAAAAACAGTTTTACAACTTGCCATTCGGGCAAGTTGTAGCTAGCATGTACTAGCCCAAGAGTCATTTTAACTAGCATCCCCCCCCCTTCCAAAAAAAATATTGTTTATGATCAAAACTGATTACAGTTTTTCTGTAATTTGAATTTCCAAAAAAAAATCTACTTGCTTCGTGGACAAGTTAAGGACTGAATACACTAGCCCAATAGCAAAATCCACTAGCCCTGGCCTATCAGACATGACTTTGTTTGCATGCTGCTTCATCAGACTGAATCACTGAGGGGATAGAGGGTTTTGTGTGATAATGTAATCAAGGTGGGAGCTATTTTTGGTAGGAACATGATAACATGAAAAAAAGGATAAATTAGTTGAATGAAAACCGTTTGTCGATTCTGTCGTGATTAAGAGTGCTGATTTGAATATGGGGTGTTTGGGCAGGTGAAGCTGGCAGGAAGGAGGCATTACACTGTACTTTTTATCCTTGTTCCTTTGTAAATAAGAAATTGGCACCAACTGAAGATACCTTCTCCTTCTCACATCGTTGTTTTTCAAAGAGCACTTTTCTTTTTTTCAGAATGATTTTAAGGTTCAAGAGCTGCCACTTGCAAGAATTAAGAAAATAATGAAACAAGATGAGGAAGTAAAGGTAATTTTTAATGTAGGCTTTTCTTTATAATGCCCTGTTTTTAAAAAATGTGTAATTAATCTAACTGCAGATTTTTAAAACCAGCCTTTTTTAAGACAGTCATTAAAATTAATATTCTGGCAGCCCTCAGTCATCTATTATAGTGGTCCAGTTTTGGCTTAATATGGAAGTAAAAAAGTATTGTGATAGCTCAGTGTTCTGTAACAGTTTATTTTAAGTTTCAGCCTCCCCAAGTTTCTTTCAAAGGGTTAAAATGACTGTTCTACAAAAGAGGCTCTATAGATATTTTTCTCTTTAGAATTACCAAAAACTTATGATTTGACAGGTTAAAATTTTATTTCAGGTCAAAATTTTTCAACCTAGGTTGATTCTCAGTTTCCTTTGTCTCCTAGCCCTAATTTGTGAATAAATAGGGCCAGGAAACAATGGAAAATTTGATTTTGACCTATAACATAATTATACACTGTATCTGTCAATCTACAGTAGGGGAGTGAATAAATTACTTGTATATTGTTAACAAGACAGTGTTATGTTTTTATCTGCAGATGATCAGTGCAGAGGTAAGATCACTACTGAAATTTGTTTGCACATACATACACAGTACCCTTTAAGTAGGGGTCCTTTCAATGTTGAGCAGATCAAAACACCTCAGCTTGCAGGGCAGTCTTCAAATTAACTTTGATCAAATTATTTTTTTGTTTCCATTAAGGTGAGTCTGTATGGTAGCTGATGGCCACTTTTGAAAAAAAATTATGCAAAACTCAGTAAAGTATTGTTAATTAGCATTTGTTATACTATTCATTATCATCATTATCATAATCATTTCTCTGAGCCAGAAGGAAAACAAGGCTGTTGCTGTGACAGTCATGTTTTTAAGGAACTTAACTGTATTTTGGTATAACAATTTCCTGTAAAATGCTGGATTCTATTCTAACATGCTGAAGATTCGTTATTGACAGCAAAAAAATTAGTTTTTAGTGCAAAGCAAAAAATACCTGAGTTGCATTAAAAGTAAATACATTCAGAGTTAATGAATTTTTTACCTGTCATATATGCCATAAATTTAAATGGATCTGTAAACTCAGACCATTTTGCTGTTCTGTTTAGGCTCCAGTTTTGTTTGCAAAAGCTGCCCAAATCTTCATTAATGAGTTGTCGCTTAGAGCCTGGATTCACACAGAAGATAACAAGAGAAGAACTCTACAGGTAAAACAAATACAAGTATTTGCACTTTATGGCATGCAAATGAAATGCCTTAGTCGTAGTGTGCTCCAATATTAAGTTGTATGCAAACTAAGATTTCCTTGTCATCCAAACGAAAAAGTTAGTTGCCTGGGTCCAATGGGTTCTGCTAGAACACAGCGGCATTCAAGCAATCATCATTAACTAAGTTATCATACCCTTTTATTTCATTTTTTCATCTACATCATTGTTATAGTTAATTAGGTAAATAATGTTTTTGTTGTTTATTTTTGCAGAGGAATGATATTGCCATGGCAATCACCAAGTTTGATCAGTTTGATTTTCTAATTGACATTGTTCCAAGAGATGAACTGAAGCCTCCTAAACGACAGGTAAGTGTCCTGTGTGTGACTGACATCTATCTGGTTAAAATTTCTCATCAGTAAGGTTTAGTGGAACCTCACCCTACTACCACCAAACTTGGAAGTGACCAGACATTTGTTTTTCCTTCTCTATGTAACAGTGACTGTCATATTGAAGTATTTCTATGGTATTTATTGTAGATGACACTTAATGGCTGGTCGCAAGGGAAATAATGAGATTGCAGGAAAACAAAATTAACCAGTTTCCCATTAAACTAGCCATGAAGTGGTTTATTATGTAGTTAATGAAGAAAAACTTCTTTGTGTACAAATTCTTGAAAGTACAGTTAAATCTCAATGGAGTCAGTGGTCAACAGTTACTGGCGACAGAGCTCCGTTACCCTCTGACATCAAAGATTCATGTTAAGAAATTATATTATAATGCTATTGTTCTTGTGTTTAAGGCATTGGTTTAAGGAAAAGTTGTCCTGGGTAAAAGGGTCACCTGCCTACGTTAGCTACCCTGGATGAGCCAACTTTTCATACAGTTCCCTATAAAATGTGGCGAACCATTAATTACATGGCTGTGAAAAAAAGAGGTTGGTGCAGCTAGAAGGGTGACCCTCCTTAGTAGCCAGGTCACCCTTTTGTGATAGTAGGGTTATCCTCCTAGCCAGTCCAAGTTTTCTTCATATTAACACTTTGGCTCACCCAGCCGGGTCAACTTAGTCAAGGTGAGACAACCAGAGCATGCATGAGTGCTGTTTTAGGCAATCAAAACATGCATGAGTACTATTGGCTTGGGCAAAGGGGTCAACTTTTTAGTCATGTAGAGGCTTGCTAAGGTTGGCTCAGCTGAGATTGTGACCCTTCTAGTTAGGACAAATGTATAAACACAGCCTTAGTAATGCCTGTTAGAGTGGACGCACCCAGTGAGTGCTATTCAATGTTGTTATATTAGGATCCCATACGGCAGACTGTTGTGGCACCAGATCAAGTGCAGTACTACTTCCAGCTAGCCCAGCATCATGTCACAATGCAACAACATCAAGCCCAACAACAACAGCAACAGCAACAACAGGCCCAACAACCACCACCTCAACAGCAGCAACAGCAGCTGACAACACAAGTTCAACAAGCTCAAGTAGCAGCCAGCACCCAGCCACAGACCATTATCACTAGTGTACCTCAACAACAGATCGTTACCATGGCAGTAAGTTTGTATCTATTACGAACTCTTTTTAAATTATTGAGAAAAAAATTATGGAAGGCAAAGCAGGACTATTGTCAAATCTCGGTTGTGACTAAGGTTGAAACACTAGCAATATTTTAGCCCAAACTACATTGTTGTATTTCTCTAATGTTATTAAGTTTTTCTTCAAACCATTTTGAAGCCCCCAGAGATCAGGCAAAAAAATTGTACAAATCCAGTTGTACACTGTATGTTCCTTTTATTAAAGTGTTTGGGTAAAGGGCGCTGGGACTGGAAATTTGCCTGATTAAAACGTGTACCTGTGAATGTTATGGTTATTATGTGTTTGAGTCTTACAATGTAGGTACTCTGATAGGAAAACAAATCACTAGCAATACCAGAAACTGATTTTCTCTGGCCACTTTCTCTCTTTTCCTGGCTTTTAGTTTTTAACAAAATTGTGAGAGAGAGTGAATTGGACGTAAAGAGGGAGGATTTGTGATCAAAAGAAATACGGTTGACTCCCAATAACTCAAACCCTCGCTAACTCAAAACATACACTAACTCGAACCCAAATCGATTTCCCCATGATTTCATAGATACATTTACTGTAATTTTATCCTCAGTAACTCGAACCCCTCGATAACTCGAACCTCCCGCTAACTCAAAGTAGTTTTCGTTTCAACTCAGATCATTTCTCAGTCTATAATTTTACCCTCGATAACTCAAACCAAGTTTTGAGCCCTTAAAAAGTCGGGAAAAAACCAGTCTACTGACGTCCGAAACATTGAATGTTGAATTTCCCATTGATGTGTTGTAGGCATATAGTTTTCTAGTGGAGGCTTAATGTTGTTCATCACAAATCTAACGTGAAACAGCTTTACTTCTCAAAACAGTAAAATGCATGCACTCTATTTAGGCTTTGTTTTGTAACGTTACATTCTGATTTATAATCTAAAAGTATCTTTTAATTTTCACTTAACATTTCCACTATTAAATGTAATTAAAATGTTCACTCTGTAGTAAAAACTGTTTTTTTCCCTGCTCCCAGCTATTCTCTTCAAGCTCGCGATAACTTGTACTCCCGATAACTCGAACTTTTTTCAATTTCCTTTGAAAGTTCGAGTTATCGGAGTCGACTGTATTAAATTTCCTTTTTCATCTTTACCCCTATAAGGTACAATGTGTAGGCTAATAACATCAGATTAGTGCTAATGTTTTGTTTTGTTTCAGCCTGGCCAGGCCCAGATAATACAGAATCAGCCACAAGAGCAAAGTGAAGTCCCGTATCCAGTAAGTAACTAACTTTTTGGGTTTGGAAAAAATGGTACCAAATCAAATAATAAATTACAAAGTGTAGTAAAAGAGTTATCGTTTATTCTCTTTTAAGCCCCTGGGGGGCTTATTTACTTTAAGCATGTTTGGGGGGCGGGGGGGTGGGGGGGCTTAATTAATTTATCAAAATTGGGCACCATACTGCTTTTTCAAACAGCCAGGTATCAATTCTCCATAAAGAACTAGAACACAAAGTGGAAAATGCTCAAGCACGTGATATTAGAGGTCTTGCAACCAAAGATTAAAACTAAACCAAACTCCAAGCGTTTGAATAAACCATACCAGAACAGTCCATCTTTTATTAATTTGGGTTGTGAAGAATAAGGAGGGAACAGAGAGGAGAGTTGAGGGGCTAATAACTCTCTTTCCCTGAAAAGGGGGGCATAGAGATGGGGGACTTGGTAGATGATTTATGGTAGATTAAAGCTTATTCTAACTCCTACAGCCTGTAGTCAGCTGTCATTTATCGAACTGTGAGACACCCCAAAAATTAATACTTGGCCTAACTACAGTATATTCACTGTGTTCTCTATGACTTCAAAAATGCATGTTCTGATGACATTATCATTTAATGCAAGGGACTTGAAGCTCAACTGCAATAAATTTTTGATTTTCTTAGCAGATTCATTTTAACCCTGCTCAAATGCAATACATCCGCATGCAGCAGATTCAACAACTTCAACAACAGCAGCAACAACAGACACAAGCACAACAGCAGGGACAGCAACAAGCAGCACAACAACCACAGGCTGCCCAACAACCAACACAGGCAACTGCTGACCAGGCACAACAGCAAGCTCAGCAGCAGGCCCAACAAACCAATACACAACCTACGGAATTCACATTTACTTCTGGAGGACAGGTAACAAGATTACATTGTGTAATTTAACAGAGTCCACCACCTTTTGTGGGAAAGGGCATGGGTCTAAACTGAAAACTCTTTAAGCCACTCTTTTTTATAATTAGTGGGCACAAGCAGTATTGTGAGAAAAGCTGCTGGGGAAGTCTTTGTCAAACTGGATAAAATAGGGGCTAGATATTCATGTTCTAACGTACAGGGAGGGTAGGTGAGAGAAACCAAAGAATGTCTCTCTAACAGTCTAGGGGTTGCTAGGTCAGGGCATATACAGTCATGTACAGAAAACCACCATTTCTTTTTGTGAAATGGTTGATCTTCTCCAGTTCATCTCCAGGAATAAGGTGCAATGTTTTAAAAATTAAGCAAGAGTAACTACTACAAAAGGAAGGAAATCCATTTCTGAGTTGCTTTAAGCCTCTGCTTCAAAGCAAGGCTAAGTGCGAAGCTATTGATATGAAAATGAAATTTTATACTCAAGCAAATAAAACTAATTTTTACATGAAAGGTTTTGCACTTTGCCTCGTTTTGAAAGTGAGAGTAGTTGGAACGTGGAAATGGCCTATTTTAGGTTCAAACTGCTGTAAAATCAAATTAAGTTATATTTTTATGTTTTTTTACCATCCAAAGATTTATCAAATTCAGCAACATCCGCACACAGGAGTGACAGCAGTGGCAGTTGCTGCTCCTCAAGGAACCTTTATACAACAACAAGGCAGCGCCCAGGAACAAGCAACACTTGCTGCTAATGAACCACCACAACAACAATAGACAGGTACACTGTTAATTAGATCAATAGCCTCTGTAAGTCTCCCATTCACCCGCTGTATACAGCCTGTCATGTATATCTCGTATCTACATGTGGAAGACGCATTACACAAAAAATGTAGGCTCTGTTCCTGTCGGTTGCCTCGCATCTAATGTTAGATTATGTTATTTGGCTGTCACCATTTACTCTCAATGTGTTATTATGTAGGGATTTTCATAATGGGTCGCAATTGATCCCACTTTTAATAGGAGGAGTGTTCCAGTAAAAAATGCGATCACTGCATACCGAGTCTCGGTGATGCTTTCATTCCGGGGTTGGGCGTCAAGTTCTAACCTTGAAACTGCTTTGTACTTAGATGAGTTCTTTTTTCTAATTCGTAAACGTTAATTTTGTTTTTACATATTACCACGAATGCCTTTAGTCTCAAGTTTAATGTAAACGAACTATACTTCTAATCAATAAATTCACGGCAAGTAAATCCTGTTTGTCTGTAACCAGCCCGTTTTATTGCCATCAAAAATCGAACACAAACGAAATTTGTTTGAGTAAATTCAGTTACCAACGTTTTTTGAAGAAATCTAACGTTTCGAACCAATGAAACTTAATTCGAAACGAAATCCACGGCATAGTGAATTTCGCTGCTTTGTCCAAAAAGTCGCCACTAGACTAAAGTTTTTTTTCTCTTTATTTCAGTGTCCAGATTGTGGGCCCGAATGGAAGATATTTAAAAGTATACTTTATCATACAAATTTGCTCCTATATACAACAACGCAACGATACCTAGTCGCCAAGCTTGGCAGCTGTAGAAACCAAACGCATGGAGTAATTTATTTTTGCTGCGAGTTCAGCCGCCGAACATTATTTTATACGCATTTAGCATTTTACCCCATTAAACTGGGTAATCTAATTACTCAGGATGAATGGGGATGGATGTAAACTATAACGTGGATGAGGCAATCCGGGCTGTCGATTTTTTGAGAATACGCGAAAAAAATCTTTAAATCTCATCCTTTTCCTCGAATCTAAAGGTCTCTTAGCAAGGTACCTGTCACAACTTTTGATTTCATGCACCCAGTAGAAAGCTACTAGAAACCACCTCGCACAGTATACCAAGTGAATAACTGCTCTACTGATCGCACTTCTGTTCCTCTTTTCTACAAATCAAAAGGTTATGTATCTCTTGCAGTGTAGTGTTTAAATGAAAAGGATTATAGTAATAAAGATTTAAACTTACTAACTTAAAACAACGGTAGTGGATTGACTTTCTGAATTAGCCATGGCGTGGTGGTGGGGAGGATAAAACGGAGAGAACTATGAACGAAGAAGAGTAAGCCCACTTGGTTTATAACTATAATTTGCTAGGATAAAAGGCGAGACTACACAAAACCGAAGGAAAACTAGTTAACAGCTAATTAACAATTATTCCTCCATCACGAATGGGCTCTGAGTCAATAGCCCATGAGGCTGAAGGCCGATTGGGCTATTGACTCAGAGGCCATGAGGGGGAGAGGAATAATTGTTTTAGTAAAATTCAACTAGTTGGTCAAAAATATCGAGACAAAACAACTTTAGCTAGCAAAACGCGATTCAGCCGCTATTGTTTTGGTTTTCAAAGCCGGCGCTCTTCGCTACTAGTGGGCTATAACATATAGCGTAGAAGTAGCTGAACCAATCAGAACGCAGCATTGATAATAGACCACTAGTTGGATTTTACTAAAAAGGGTTAGACACAGCTAACTACCTTTCAAGGAATTTAGACACGAGTTTTAATAGACTGAATACTGATTCCATACACACGTTCGCCTTGGTGACATTTGTTCATTCAACCTCTAACTTCTGATTTGAGAATTTCAATGATGGTCTACACATCGTACAGACATACATTGTTATCAAGATTGTTATTAACAGATTCGGATGGAATATTCTTCAACCTGCGGAGGCGAGGTGGAAGAGCCTGAGAAAACAGCCGACATTTTGAGTAGTGGTGTAACGATTTCTGTTGATGAAGATGAAATTCTATAGTGTGACCATTTAAATGAAACCTTCTATGCAGTACTTTCACATGGTTTTTTTTATTATTATTGTAACCGAGTGGCGCGAGCGGTTCAACGCCGCCAACGGCCGGAGGCCAAAGAGCAGTGGCACGACGACATCAATCCTTTGGATGCAAGGAGTGGGCTTAAATGAATGTTTAATACAAAAGAAAAATGAAAACCTAATTACAAACAAAACTAACGACAAAACAAAGTAAAAGCTAATAAAAAAAAATGAAATATATTAATACAGCGCAAGAATGAAACAACGAAAAAGGAAATGTTGCACAAAAATTACCAGAGGTCGAAACCTTCTGGGGAGTTGAGCTCCACAGCTAATCAGCAAAGCTTACTAGCCGAGCTAATTCAACTCTAGGAAACTAGACAAAAGTACTCGTATTTATACGCAAGTAAACAGATACTTATGTGACAGGAAACGAGTCAAATGCATAAAACGGGATTATAGAAGGGATTAAAATAAACGCCCAAGTCACGCCTAACTTGCGAATATATAGGTGTTGAAAAGAGAAACGATAAAACACGATAGCAAAAACTACGCACAGGAAAAACAAACCAAAGAAAATACCAATCCTACGTAAGTAAAACTACAAAAATACGTTATTAACCTAGTAACTGAACAGGGAATTTGACTGAACAATAGGGATGGTGACCTATCTAGAAAGTAAGCGGAAACCGATCTACTCTCGTCTACAGAATTGCAAAATAAGCCAAAAGAATAAAAAAAACGACAACTGTGTAACTAAAAACATAATAAAACGATATATAAGTCTCTTAAGGAACTATAAAAGTGACTCTGTCACATTATTGTTATTTTAGTACGTAGTTCAATTCTAATTTTTTTAGTCTGTGGTTGAAATCGTATAGGCTGGCCATTCGTATGAAACCATGGTACTTTTTGTTTGCCAGCCTTTTTCAAAATGAAATTGGGAATGTTTGTCGGACTTTTTTTCTGTGGGAATAAAAAATGTTAAACAGGAAAAATTCAATCAGAGGACAAAGATAGTAACTCGTAACCGAGAAAATTTACTGTCCGCCAAAGTTACTACAATGAATTTTGCCTCTCTCTTTTCTTTACTCCCTTTGGCGATAATTAAAATCAGTTACAAATAATTTTCTGCCTATATGAAGTTGCCAGGCTACAGAAAACGTGATGTTTGTTGAATCAATCTACTTTTCACACTATTTCTCAATATTCGTTTTCCCCGTTACTTGCCGTTCTAGGTTAAAATAACTCCATTGTTAATGTGTTTTATTAAGCTTTGAAAGAGCGGAAATGGAAACTTCTTTATAGGATTCAAAGGAAAGTGCATGGCCAAATACAAACTTAAGTTCACTTCCCCTGGACTAACTCCCGAAATTGACTGAAGTAGGTTTACCTTAATGTAGCTGACTTTAATAAAACGTGTTAGGTATTAGTTTCTTACAAGAAAACGTCTGTCTAAATATTAATGGTTGGACATTTTAGTTCAAACAAAGGTTTGATTATTCTCGTCTTATTCTTCCAAAATACGCTGAAATATAATTTTCAATGTATCCTTCAGTGAAAATGTTACACTAAACTGATCAGTGAAATTTGATACAACTTTCGTTTACGCTTTTCCTCTGTCATGTGTAGGTTTGTGTTCCGTTGGGGAGTAAGATGTAATATGTAATAATTTTCTTAAGTTAGATTGGTCCAATCATATCAAGGTTACCGCAAGTGCGAGGAAACACAACCACCTTCGCTTTACAACTCAGTGTTATTAGCATGGGAAAATAACATCTGAGATGTTCCATCGATGCAATAAAAGTAGAAGGAAGCCGAGAGTGGTTTTACGTCGAAAGAAAAGTGAAGAAGCAACTTCAGTGATATTCGTCAGGAGTCGATCGTTGCTTCATTGCGATCGGCTAAATAAAATGGCTGCAGTAAAAGGTGTCATTACACTTTGTCTGGTTTTGGGGTTTGCCCTCGACGGCTTTGCGATTCCTGTTAAATCGTGGCACAAAGGTGAGTTTAAAAACAGTTGCTGAATTTTTTCCATGGAATTAAGGTTAGGATGTAGTGGTGCTTTTTCTTTGGTTACGTTTCCAGAAACGCAACGCTATAATAACCTTCGACTTGTGCAACCCTCTTGCTCTGGCTTTTTAAAATTCTTTCGAGGTTCAGCTGATTTACCGCCGAAAATGTCGCTATTTTTTCAATATACAACAATTTGCATGATTTGCACATAGGGTTGGAAAATAAAAACGTCTATCGGCAGAAACAATACTAAAATGTTTGTAAAAATTTTCCTGCTGCTCTAAACTACAATAGCACGCGCCGTTTTTTGAAACATTTCCAAAGTAATATTTTTGAAAAGGTTTCGATTTCATCGATCATAGTCAGCCTTTTTACTGTGCCAATACTTCCCGAAATTCTGTAATGCTGCTATTGTTTGTTTGCGTTCTTTATGTCAAACATTTTAATCAATTGTTCTTCAAAAGTCAAATGGTAAAACGACTTTTTTTTCTTAGAAAGAGACGACTCTTCAGATGAGGACGAAGAAATATCGAATCATATTGCCAAAGCTAACAAGGGTTTGTATGACCGTACCTGATTAGGACCTGACAATGTTTACACTGACCGTTTTTAGAACCAGCTTATTATATCTGTGTTTACAGTGGTGAGGGCAAGGAAAGGGATAACAGTTAATCATATTTATCGCAGAAAATTTTTATTTTTATTTTTATTTTTTTTTTTTCTGTGAGGTCTAAATGTTCTTCTCTCTTGTTATAAAAATGAACTTGTAACTTTACGAAGTGTGATGGCAGAGTTTAGTTACACTGATATGTGCGCTCTGGGTAATTTGTTTCGGTAATCTGAGTTGCGATTTGTTCGGGAAGGCGCAGTAATGCATTCATATTCTCCATACACTTTGAGTATCACCATTTGTCGTGGACGCTTTGTAAAGAAGAGCGATTGAACGTACGGTAAAAGTCCCCACAATAAAGATCGTGCCACGTTAAATGAAATGCTTCATTCATTTCATCTGGCATGTATCGTTTACTGAACACGTTATGTATACTTATTTCATCAGCTGTCGCCGAATCCTTATTTGAGGGCGATATCGTTCTGTCTCCATTTGACCTGAAGTTTGTGGATACCCGTGAGGAGGGAGATGTTGACGGAGACCTGGAACCGCGTCGACGCAAGAGGAATGCTGACCGTAACAGACGGATTCTCTGGCATGATAAGATAGTGCCTTACAAGTTTGATCCAGGACTTCCAGGTGAGAACAGCTTTTCGCACGGTATTAAACATCGAAGGAAAAGTGCATGATCTAATTACCTCTTGTGTGAGTGTTTTTTGGTGGTGTTGGTGGAGGCGGTGGTGGTGTACACCTAAAAAGGCCCGTTAGCTCAACGTTAGCTCCGGGTTCCTCTTTCATTGAGGACTGCGTCCCTTTAGCCTGTCAGCCCCGCTGTACCCCCGGAAGCCCCGTGAAAGCTTGCTCGCAGGATAGCATCCCTTGCTCTCTTCTAACACGGAGCTTGAGTGATTTATCGATTGATCGTGACATTCGGTTTTAAGGGGTTTGCATTAAAGGTTTGGAGAGAAGTGACCGCTAGAAAGTATATCCAAACCAGCCGGAGGGACCTAAAAAGATTGAAAAAAATTGCATCATCTCAACTCACACGGCACTGCAAGTGGCACACATGTCAGTCCAGCTTCTGCCCAAACGGAATGGGAGTGGGGGGAGGGGAGGGATTTGATTTTCCATCTGGGTATTTGCGTTTATACCTTATAAAAGTACGCCGGGCGACGTAATTTAACAATTTCATTTAGAGCATATCTGCATAACCTTGAAATGACTTAAATCTTTTTGTTTTTGTTTGTTTTCGTGCAGCTGATTATATATCCAGCGTCAGGGAAGCTATTGCAGAGTATCACAAACATACCTGTCTAAAGTTCGTTGAGAGAACGAATCAGCCAAACTGGCTTCTGTTTGTTTTTAAAGCTGGGTAAGTTTTCTACTATAAAATCTTGGGTTTGATCCATGTTCTGTTGGTTGACAGCTACAAAACTTCGAACGGAAAGCTTTGCTTACGACTGATATACGAGTGTTTTCTCTTTTACTTTGAGTAAAATGCCTTCCTGAGGGATTAAGCTACACAAAAACTCCAGGCAACCAATGAGATGGCTTCTTTTACTCCTGACTGAATACACATTTGCATATAGATTGAACATAGCCTGGCACCTCTGATGTACATATTTTCACAATCGCTGAGTATCATTCTTGTTTAATTTGTTTTATTCAGGTGCTGGTCTAGTGTTGGGAAAAAGTATTGGAGGTATGACTACGGGCAAGAGGTTTCACTGGGCAGCGGTTGCAATCACAAAGGAACCGTCATGCATGAAATAATGCACGCAATTGGCTTCTGGCACGAGCAATCACGACCAGACAGAAACCTTTATGTAGAAGTACTCTGGGAGAACATACTGGACGGTACGCCAATATAATCTCAACAGTAAATAGAGTTAGAGTGAAGGTTTGGTGTTGGACTGAATGTATGTTATTGACTTGCTCTCAATGGCAGTGACTTTTTATCTCAGTTGGTTAGATTAAAGCATCGCTAATGAGATCTCCACGGTTCCCCGTTGAATCCCGATGAAGGCCTGATTTTTTTGATGCAGTGTGCATAGCCACCATGATCCTTAAAAGAGTTGAAACGAGCAATCAAAATATAGTGACGAAAAGCGGATTCCGAAAGACAAGAGGAGACGATGTGTATGCCCGTAGGTTTACAAAAACCACCGGACTACTTTCAAAATTACCGACGATCGGTCCGTGGTTAACCTGAAAAAAATCCGACATTACACGATGCCACCACTGGTTTACCCGCGAAATGACGTCTGAGAAACGAGCGCCGAAATTCCCTTCTGATCACACGTCACTTTCCAGATCTGGGTAGTGCTTCTGATTGGTCCTGCCGCGTGGGGGAAATTTGCTTCAACCAATCATAAGCTCTACCCAGATCTACGTAGTGAAGCGTCATCAGCATTTAATTTCTGCGCTCTTTTCTCAGACGTCATTTCGTTGGGAAACCAAGGGTGGCGTCCCGAAATGTCAGCTGTTTTTCAGGCTAGCTCATGCTGTCTTAGAACCGTAAATGGAGGTTGGGTGAAGGCAGCGCCCCTAAAATAGCTAAGGTTGATTTTGTAATACGATATACAGCTATTTTGATAGCTAAAACGTCGTCCGATTTTAAGGCCTTAAGACTACAATACTCGTCACATTAGTTGGGGCAGCAGTGGTATTTTCTGCCCCCTCAATATTAGTTTTTGCCAGTTGGCATGTCAGAAGCAAAAAAATCAACGCTGAGAAGGAAGAAGCACAAGTTTTTGTCGGAATATGTGTACGGCACGGGGTGTCCCAACTTAGTGTGACGAGGATTGTAGGTAGCAAGGGCATGAGGGTGGCTGTAAATCCTGTGTAATTTGGTCATAATTTCACGGTTGTCAGATGAGTAACATAGAATGGTATATTAAACGATTTTAAGACAGATGAGTTACTTCATGGCCTTGTTTGGCAATGTTCTTTTCTTAAATTACCCACATATTGCTACACATGCATTCTCGACGTGTAGGCTTTCCAACTTTAAGAAGTGAAAGATCTGTCTTCATACTATTCTCTACTCCAGGCCAGTCACACAACTTCAACAAATACGACCGAGGCAGGATAGACACCCTCCACGTCCCTTACGACTACGACAGTATTATGCATTATGGTATAGACAGCTTCTCTAGGAATGGCAAAGCTACTATAAGATCTATTAAAGACTCTGCAAGATCACTTGGCCAGAGAAATGGATTTACCCAACTGGATATACAGGAAATCAACTCACTCTACGAATGCAGCAGTAAGTGGAGTGGTCTGTAATAAAAGGAAGTATTGGTTACCAAAATGGCCTCTACTAAACAAACCGAAAACAGTTAAGTGGTCTGTGAAAGGGTGACAGATCATATAACAATGTAGATGTAAAAAATCAGGTAGCCTGTTGTAGAAGAAACAGAAATGTCGCTCTCAAAAACCTATTTCCTCTAAAGTTTTTTTTAAAAATCCTTTTCTTCTCCTGTACCAGCGCATTTTTAGTCCCTTTTTTTTTTGGGGGGTGGTTGAGGGGCGCTCATTAAAAGGGAGGAGCCAAATGGGAGGAAGCTAAAGCAAAGACGTTTTGAGCGACGCACATCACCCGGAAGATGAATTTTTGCATTCTCGGACAGTGGTTTTGCCCACATTTTCGGTCAAATCCACCATTTTAGGTTAAACACTAAGCAATGCAAATTTGTTAGCGTCAAGACATATTAAAAGAGAAAAGGGCTTCAAACGCCACTGATTAAGCTTTCTTTATAATATTTCAAGCCTCATGTTATAGCGCTTGTTTGAAGGAGGGCGCTAATTCGAGCATTTGCGGTGTTAAAATTCAGCTTGTAATAATCAGTATTATACCTGCTTGCCGGTAAGATAGCTTTCTGGGCCCACAATAATATCGAGACACTCGAGAAATGGGTTCCTGTAAACTTCGTAAACCACTATATGTTAAATTTCCTCAATGCATCTTGCATCAGTGGCCCTTTTTAGCTCTTCTTTGGTTTGATTGTTTGATGGTTTTTGATGTAACAGGTGCGAATGGTCCCGGATGGAGCAGGTGGTCAGACTTTGGTCCCTGTGGTGCCAATTGTAAAAAGTACCGTCAACGTTACTGCACGTCCACAAACAAAGATGTCCACTGTCCTGGGCACAGTAACGGGGTAGAGACAGAAGAACGGGTTTGTCCCCACCAAGAATGCTACGGTTAGTATTAGGAGGAGGAGTGAGGGTTTCAGTGGCGGATGCAGGGGAGGGACCCGGGGGGCTCGGCTCCCTTCCCTTAATTTAGACCAAAGTGAGCCTGAAGGGCCGAAAAACTTTTTTGGGGAGATCCATTTCACCTGAGAGCCTGGAAGGCGGCACCCAAGGCCCGAGCCTTTTGGAAGTAATTCACAAACGTTTTTCGCCCAGGCTGCTGATTTAAAAGCTTCTGCCATGTTCTTTTCACTTCCAGTGTGTGGGTTTATTTGCTGTTAAAACATGAAATAGAACTGACCTTGTATAATTAGAGACCAAAATATGACTGTCTATTTGGTACCAAGTGTAGTCGTCCTGTTTATCTGTAACTGGAATAGCCTGCGTAGCAGGCGTCGAAAGGGGTAGGGGTATTTGCACCTGCCACGCAGGCTATAACTGGAATAGAAATTTTATGAATGCTGTCATTTTTCATATTACATTCCTTCTTCTTGCAGCGCCCGTGGATGGACACTGGGGCCGCTGGTCATCATGGGCCACGTGCAGCAAGACATGTGGAAATGGAACAAAAGTAAGAACGCGCAAATGCGATGATCCACCACCACTAAATTCCGGAAAATCCTGTCCTGGCGATGATAAAGAACAAGAAGCTTGTATACTGAGAAGGTGTGGCTTGGGTGAGTGGGCAAAACAAAATTAAGTTATTTAAACTGAGATCGACTTTGCATTCAACATGTATTTTTTATTATGCAGTTCAATGCGAATCTACTAAATTGTCCTCACTAACTTCTTAGTCTTCTTACGAGCGAAGGCACATGACATTAACTTATCAAAACAGCCGGGTTATTACTCCTAGTTGCTTTTAAACTGACCAAAAGATGGCTCTATTTACCTGTAGGCGCTGATGATTGTGACTTTGACTTCGCCGATGGAATGTGCCACTGGTCAAATGACCAATCCAGCAGTTCAGATTTTAAGTGGTTATTAGGGTCTGGATCGACACCCAGCAGCCTCACGGGGCCTTCCGCTGACCACACAAGTGGCGCAGGTAAAAAATTGCCCACTAATCTAATTAAAAGGGCCTCCGTTTTATAAGAAAACGACGAAAACGGGTGGCTAGTCCTCTTCACAGTTTAATTAAGCGTTTCTATTGGTTTACTCGCGAAATAACCCTCGCGGGATGTTGGGAGAAATTGAGTTTAGATGCCGTTTTCTATGAGTTTACGGGTATGATATATGAATAGTAGTTTTTTTATTGCACTTATTTTATAATGCATAGTATACTGGAGTTTGCTCAAAACGATGAAGCTAAAAGAATAGATTGCTTGAAACCTCATAGGGATAAAGAAAATGATAAACCGGACCTTAGACCCACCTCCTGTAATCCTTGATCATCAAAATGTGACATATTAAATAAAGAATCGCATAATTAAGTAAAATCTCGCATTCTGATTGGTTAACGAAGCGAGGTATTTAGTGTGGAATTGCGAGTTGAAAACGAGGCTAAGCGATATTGTTTCGCATCTACCTAACAACTATCGTCAAATTCTAACACAACAACATGCAAAAAAGGTTTTCTACAATGTCATTTTAAAATGTTTTCAAAACCATTCATTGTCACTTTTTGAAGAGTTAAAAACAAACAAAAGCGTTTTTTAAAGTGAGCCGGAGGTTCTTCCTTGTTTTGAACTGAACTACAGATTCTCGAAGAGACATAAAACCTCTTTCACTCGCGACAACCAGAAAACAAGAAAATCCTGTGAACACGGCCCAGAAAATGGCAATCCAAAGTTCAACCAAACAAAACGGAGAAACGACAACGGAGGAAGTGCCGGGGTCGATTGTCACATATACAGAAGAAGAAATAAATACCTTCAAAGAGGACATGGCCCCTGAAAACACGAAAAAGAGTACGCCGCTTGCAATCGTCCTGAATCGTGGTACTTAGAAAAGTACAAAACAGAGCTGAACTTGAACAGCATTTCTAAAACATTTCAAGGTACTTACCTTATGTCAATCGCGACGTTAAACATCTTAAACTTTCAGTGCTTTCGCTTGGACACTTGATTTCTTTCCGTTTTGCCGCCGAAGAGGTAAAAGGTGTAAATTATTTTCCTTCTCGAGCAAATGACCAATTTGAAAAAAGACGTTCTACATAAACGGCTTCTAAATTCAGTAAAATACCTCTATTTATCCTTACGATTAGTGTGAAGCTTGTTTACATGTAAAAACGTTTGAAAACAAATGTAAAAACAAGCACAAGGTACAAAAAAGTTGTCGAAGGTTCAAACGTGTACGACTGACCTTGCTTCCTATTCGCTAACGCAATGACAGTTCTGACAGTTGACTTTGAAATGCTTTCTGGAGCGCGCGCTCAGGATAAAAACAAACAATATTATTGCTGTTTTCTTTTTTTTTTCTTCTGATTTTTATTCAATTATGCGATTCAAGGAAAATTCATTACCTGACTCGAGAATTCCACGTTAAATTGCACTTGAAAACCGATATCGCACTCATCGCTTCGCGATTCGTGCGATATCGGTTTTCGCGTGCAATTTAACGTGGAATTCCCTCGTCAGGTAATGAATTTTCCTATAGAATGTCATTCTCCCCAGGCAAGTATCTTTATGTGGAGGCTTCCAGTCCCGCGCAAGAGGGCGATAAGGCTAGGTTACTCAGTCATCAATTTCCGTCAACTGCTGCTCGGTGCCTGTCCTTTTGGTACCACATGTATGGCTCATCAACTGGAAATCTTAGTGTGTATACCCTTGCTAAAGATTTCAAAAGGACTCTACTTTGGCAAAAGGCTGGTAACCAAGGAAACCAATGGATGCAAGCAAAAGTTTCTATTACGAGTAGCTTAGAATATAAGGTATGGAAATTGTGTTCTTACCGATGATACGTTCTAGGGGAGTTGTGAGCGCGCAAAAAAGAGAGAGCGCTGCAAGCGAATCAAAATGAACAAGAACGCTATTAATATCGGCGTTATGTCTCGCTTGCTTGGAGATTAGATGAGAAATGAGGAGGCGGTTATTCTAGACGAAACAGGATTTACTCGCTAAAGGTTTTTCACTTCCTACTTTATTGACGGTCGAGTATTCTTCAGGAAGTTTCCTTTTTATATCGTATTCTACGATTTGTTTCTGAATTGATTTAGTACGCGTGTACGTCTGCGGTCGCAGGCTATACGCGTGTATAGTTACAAGAAAATTCGAGAGAAATTACATCGTGATGAGAACCTGGCACGTCATTTAAATCATCGCCAAAATTAAACCGCATGCTCATCACAAGACTCATTTGCATACAATAAAAGTTTACAACACCCGACCATTTTTTTTTCGACCACTCTTTCAAGCGATAGAATTCGTGGACCGACCCGTTCCGGAAAATCTATAAATCGGATTTATTAATCTTTCCTAAGCTTTCTTCGCAAAACATGCGTGGCTTCGGTTACGCAACGATTCTTATTCCCAGTTTCCACGATCTCCGCTAGGAACGCCTGGGTCCCCAACGCCTCGTTTGTGTTCTAAATACGAAGAAAAACCGCTTGCAGATTATGAGTCTCGCTGCTTACGCAAGTGAGACTAATTACGACTGGAAGATTGTAATGATTGCAGGTTGGGTTCAATAGTGACCATAAAACATACATTGCGATAATGTTTTCTTGAAAATTAGACGGCTTTCTTCAGTCGTACCGCGTAGTAACGAATCGTCTTCGTGTAAACTGTGTGTCTTGTGAGGTATTTGGACTCGTGTGTTAACTGTGTGTCGCCAAGGCTTGGTCATGCGGTCGAAACGAAATAGGGAATTAAACACCATTTCTCTTGGCAGATCAGAGTAGAAGTAGTCATTATCTGAGTTCCAGTGAGTCTCTTTATCAAAGCCTGGTATACAACCATTGATACAAAAATCTTTTCATTTTCATACGAATGGTTGTTCACCTGGCGTCGCTTTGATAATAAAGCTTAAGTGCACTCGGATTATGCTGTTAACACTCTGAAGTCTCAATTTGGTTTGAAAATTGCGCTGATTTCAGTTTAGTATATAAGAAGGCGTTTAAATTACCGGTGGAAGACATCTTCCCGATCTATAAAGACTATTCTGAAAGAAATATTTTTGCGCAGGTTGAGATTGAAGCGATAAGAGGCGCGAGTTTCCGAGGAGACATCGGACTGGATGACATCAGTTTTACCGATGGACCGTGCAGTAAGTCTCCATCATAACTTTACTTTACTTTATCTGTCCGTTCGAACGGAGGTGTGGTAGAGCGTTAATTCTTTCGATCAGCCGCGAGTCTGAGGGCTATGACAAAAGGAATATTGTTGTGAAAGATGTTTGCTGTGACGATAGGGATGTTGTGTGCCCTTAGGCTGTCTTTGAAGCACTTAATCCACACCAGGTCTTACGTTAACGTCCTCTTGTTTTATATGCGGACACCTTCTAGTGCTTTGTGCTTGCTTTGCCAGCTGGTTGGTATTCAAACTCGTCATAACACCGAACCATTTCATTCTCTGTCGATATGATGTTGAAACGTTGCCAATCCTACCATTTCTCTGATCTTGCCCCGTCTGGTCTTGCTGGCGGCCCTTCTTAAGCATCTCATCATAGATGGTGATTTTGCAGTCTAGTCTTGTTGTGAATGTCTATGTTTGACATTGGTTATAGGTTAGTGTGGGAGTGGAAATCGAATTAATGAGCTTCACTTTGGTCTTCAAAACACCTTCGAAAAATTATTAGAGTCATTTTAGTTGTAACTGAGTTTATGCTAAATAATTAGTACCTCGTGAAAGTGCTACATTAATTTTCTCCATAACTAAAGCAAGGAGTAAGAGAGTTAGTAGATATTTTTTAACACTTAGTAAATCAATTCAAGGAAGTGCATTGTAGATTTTCTTTAGAGTTGTGATGATATAGTTTCCCACATCTTCTAAGTGATGTTTTACATGTATTTTAACAGTGGAAGAAATAGGCTGCTATAAAGATAACCCCCAAAGCAGAACGTTTCCGCTGGTTGTGAAAAACCTTCGATCTGAAATAGATTGGTATCACCTGGAGAAAACTGTTCAGAAATGTGCCTTGCTATCCAAACAGAGAAACTACAAAGTAAGTCACTTATAATGCCAGTGGACTCTGTCCAAACTTCAGCTACTTCAGAAATTATCATGATTAGTTATTTAATGAATTGAGTAGGTAGGCTGAGTAGGATCACCCAGATAAGTGTTTAATCATGCACGAGTATGAGTGTGATGATAGTCTTAGTGAGTTGATCGCTTTATATTGGCGATGGATTATTATCGCTTGTCAGTCCCAGGCCGGAGGTTGACGGGGGATGAGTCTCAAACAAAAATAAACAAACAAACAAAAGCCGTTTTACTCTCATTTCGTTTTCCATTGTCTTACGAAACCGGAAGTAACATTTTCTTCATAAAAGGTGACTTAATAGTAAACGTGAACACCTGTGAACGGCTTTGAAAGCAACAAACTCAAAGAGGATTAAAGGCCTTTGTTTGACCGATAAAAGTGTGGGAGTGTCGTATAAAGTTTCGAACCATGCATTAATGAATTATTACCAATGATTTTTCATTCGATTTGCACCATAAGGAGAAGTTTTAGAAAACAACGGCGGCGGGGGCAAAATGCGAGAAAATGAAAATGCAATCTGAAAGAGAAGCCCCGGACAAGTCGAGAAGCTGGTCCTTTGCTAATTTCCCTGGTCATTGGTCTCATTTTAACCAAGAGCGTAGGTATTTGATGACTGTTGTGGTTGGACAAAACGCATATCGTCAGATTTTTCAGCCAAATGTTTCCCCCCGGGTTGAACCATTGTGAAGAACGAACTAAGACGAAAATTTATAACGTAACTCTTATGCTAATTATTTTTTTATTCTCGTTCGGTTCCTTAGATATTTGCAATACAGTTTTACGGCGAGTGCTGGAGCGGCGAAACATCCAAGGTTCATTATAATCGCTTTGGTGCAGTTGATAAATCTCAATGCCCGTTTGGAGTCGGAGGACCGAATGTTAATGCTGTTTATAGGATCCTTCCATAGAGTTTATCTACTCATAGAGGTCATAGGGGATGAAAAGTGAAGAGAAAATACCTTGGAAATGCTCCCTCATGTTATGTCACTCAAAAGCTTCTTATAAAAAAGCCACTGGCACAATTACAATTACAAAAATATTACAAAATTACAATATATTTCGTAAGCATGTTCCCTGGGTCAGGCATTCCAGATAGCACACAGCGGGGCGAAATAAAGTCTCTCCTCTAACTGAACTACTCAGAAAACTACTTTAGTGTTAAACGAATTTAAACTGATTATAGGCATGATAAGTGTATTCTTTCTCAGCATTCTTCGTCCTCTTCCTGCTTGTGATAGTCACTCATAAAAATATTACAAAATCATCTTTTTGTTATGCGCCTTTGACAACAGAAAGTAATGAATATGTCAAAGATTTGCTTATTAGTTAGAAATCAACAATAAAATACCGGTAAACTGAAATGAGGACTTGATTCTTATCTTTCACTCTGTGGCCGTCACCTCGCTTTTTTAGAATTGCATTTGACCACTTTGCCTATTCCCTTCCTCTTGAGGCCTTCCCTTTCGAACGCCTGCCACGCAGGCTACTTTGCCTTATTCTTGTGGTAATGAGGGTTAAAAACTTTCGCGCAATGAAATAACGTACTTAAGGTCGATTTCCTCTGACGCGTTTTTGGCCACGCACGTTAACGCACGTAAATTTAAATCACGTAAATAAACTAGAGACAAGATATAAAGTGTTGAGATTAAACGTGAAGTTGAGCGAGGTTCTACTTTTTACGCTTACGTGCGACCTTTTATACAGTGCCTCTATTTTATTTGCGAACGTAAATTTTACCCACATACGCACGTAAAAATTACGCGACAGTGGAAATCAACCCTTAGGCTAGCAACTTGTATTGTTAAACTGGTGGTAATCAAAGATTGCTGGAGTGCGCTCGTGATATCGTTTAAGATAAGTAAACTGTTCTCAGCAGAAGGAACTGTAAATCGTCTTCGTGAACACTTGCGGTTTATCCACAGGTTCAAATTACCGCTGTATCTGGAAGTCCTCTTTCCCGTTAAAATGAGCTACGTGCAAACGGATGCAACAACTTCCAACAATGTTGAGACCTGCGACAAAAGGAGCGCGAAAAAATAAAAGCAATCCCCTCTACTTTTCATCGTTTCTTTACTTCAACTATCTGAACGCGCTACAACCTATATCTGAACGCCTGGCAAACATTGGCGCCACCAATGTTGGGAATGCGCGTGTTGGCGTGGCAAACGGATGCAACAACAATGTTGGGACCTAGAGTGCTGGGAACGATAAAACCCATAAGTCAAACCATGGATCGTGGCCCTAACAATGTAACTGTGTAAACGTTCACCGGAAAAAAAAAAAAGAAATGTTGGGAGTTGTTGGCTGAAAAGTTTGACCGGTTTCAAACTTTGCGCAACAACTCCCAATCGACAACATGCAACAGGGTGTGCAAAAGGTCGCAACGTGCAACATCCAACAATGTTGGGAGTTGTTGGCACTGGACGAAAAAAACGTCACAAATTTTTAAAAACGGATGAGTTTTATGGTATGCAAATGTGATATTAACCATCTTTCAGCCCATATGTAGTCCTCCGTTTTTACAAATTTGCTACATATTTGCAAGGAGAAAATTTGTGCAAATCCATTTTTTCGTCCAGTGTGGCCAACAATGCTGCGTCCGTTTGCGCGGGGCCTTATATTCTAAACAAAATAACACTCAACGAATACCTTCGCACCTGAAGCGCAGTACGGTAACAATAACTCCAGTGCGTGCACATGCCACGCGTGAAAATTCGTATCCAGATCTAGAGTCCTCTTGGCGACCGCCCGCTGACCAAAGAGCGCGAGAATTAAGCCTGAAAGTACTCACGACAGGGCAAAAGTGTGTTATTTCGGGGGCACCCAACGAGAATATAGTCCAAAACCACTTAACATAGCATTTTTAAACGTATTTTAGTATTTAAACGGTAGATATAGGCATACTTTTATCCCCTAAAAATTTTTTATCTGTTCGGATTTCCTAACTGAAAGTCTAGTGATCCGAAAATTATAGGGATCAAAACTTACGTTTTCGAAAATTTTAGCCAGGAAAAAGGCTCCCGAAAATTCTAGGTGATCTTTTTAGGGTAAAAATCCGTTAAAAATGGGCAATTATACCATTTTTTAGATGTTCGAAAATCTTAGGAGAGGCAGGCAAGCAATAAATTTTACAACAAATGTTCCGAAAATTCTAGATCTCAAATCGTCTTCCGAACAGATATTTTCCGAAAATTGACGTTGGGTGCCCCTGTTATTTCACAAAAACGAGAAGTTGAATGAATAAAATTAGTGTTACCCTTTTCTTTCCAATACTATCTGGTTGCGTAAGGCCCCAACTCCTGGCTCCAGAGGTCCGTTCAACTTGTCGAAATTAAATCGGCTAGAATGAAACAAACCGTGCATGCTTCGCTGCGGACTATCATCTCTAATCTCTGGCATCCAGAGTATTGCTTTCAAAAAGAGCAGTTTCAAATACAAAGATAACAGTACACAGAACATAAATGAGCACAAAGTAAAGCAGCTCTGTCTTCTATTCTGTTCTGAGTAACCTGCCGGCTTCTGAAGTCACGCTTTCGTAAGCATAATTCTTAGAAACCTGGAATTATTTTGCAATCATTCTCAGAAGGTAGACAAGATCAAGACATGTCAAAATAACACTTGACCATTGGTTGATGTCATAAGCTGATTACAATATCACATACCAAGCCCACTGATCAGGAGACTTCATATTACTGCTCGGCTTCTTGAGTCTTTTTCTGCCGTTTGACATGGATATCAAAACCTTGCTAGATAATCTTCATGAAGAGGTTTCTTGTTCCGTGTGTATGTGCAAGTTCACAGACCCAAAACAGTTGCCTTGCTTGCACAGCTTTTGCCTTCACTGCCTGAATGGGATTCAACGAACGAGTGCCAACCCCAATGTGATTGCGTGCCCTGAATGCCGACAGGAATTCAGAGTCCCTGAGAGCCGCAACCTCCAGGCTTTGCCTACAAACTTTCGCATCAACAGTCTGCTTGATGTTTTGGCCATAAAAGAGTGTAATACAAGCGGTGTGAAGTGTGGAAATTGCGACAAAAAGAGCGAACACAGCTTTTATTGTTTCCAGTGTTGTGCATTCTGGTGTGATGACTGTATCGGTTTGCACAATGGCATCAGAGCCAATAAAGAGCACCATGCGCTCGCTCTGAAAGACTTTCAAGATCAGGACTTTGAGAGCATTTTAAAGCGACCAGCATTTTGTGGAAAACCAGGCCACGAAAGGAAGGAATTGGAATTCTTTTGCAAGACCTGTGAAGCTGCCATTTGCTATTCATGCATCGCAACACTTCATGAAGGCCACCCCAAGATACTTCTAGATGAAGCTGCAAATGAACGCAAGTTACATGTTCAGGCTGCCATTGACTCTCAAAAACAGAGAGCTCTTCAGATGAAAGAAAATATTGCAAGAATTCAGGCTGACTGTGCGAACATTCAAGCTCAGGTCGATAACGTTAAGAAAGATGCACAAATGTTTGTTGACAATATGATCGCTGTCCTGGAGGCGAAAAAGCAGGAAATATTTAATGACGTTGAAAAGAAAGCGAAAGAAACTCTCCAGCTTCTGGGAACTCAACAGTGCAAAGTGGAAAGTATGTTAAAATCGATTGAGGCAGAAATCGAGAAAGGTGAACAAATTTTAAAACGAAGAACAAGTGCCGAAATTACAAAATTGGACACCAACACAATCTTTCAGGCAGATGGGATCGATGATGGAGGTCATGACGAATGTCACTTTGAAAATCTTCGACACTTTGTTTTCATACAAAACGAAATGTTAATGAACAAAGTGAACTCTAGAGGGATTGGATCATTCAGAAGTTTTCCTAGCAAGACTGTAGCACAACAGTCAAGAGCTGAGGGAGAGGGAATCAGGGAAGCAACCGCTGGACTAAAAGCGCACATTGTTGTGACAACAAGAACTGCCGATGGAGTTCAGTGCTATGAGGAGCGTGACTTTGTGAAAGTGGAAATAAGAAATCGTCACGGAAATGACTGTGCCACGAAAGTACTGGTGGGAGATAACAAAAATGGTACTTATAAGATCAGCTACTTTGCCAAAGAAACAGGAACATGTGAGGCATCAGTGAAGGTGAATGGAGAACATATTCAAGGTAGTCCTTTTAAGGTTCAAATCAAAGCCAGACAGTACAAGCCTGTGTTGAGTTTCGGCCAAGAGGGGTCTTCTTTTGGAGGATTTAATCAGCCCTGGGGAGTTGCAGTTAATGAACACGACGAAATAGCAGTCACTGACAGGAAAAACCATAGAGTGCAGATCTTTGATGCGACGGGATCCCTCTTAAGATCCTTTGGCTGCAAAGGTGATCAGGAGGGAGAATTTAACGAACCTTGTGGGATTGTTTTTTATAATGATAAAATTGTAGTGGTGGATCGTAATAACCACCGAGTCCAAGTCTTAAGCGCACAAGGTGAGTTTCTTTACCAGTTTGGGGGCGAAGGAAATCTTGATCACCAGTTTAACCTCCCTCTTGGTATATCAATAGATTATGAAGGCAATTTTATCGTTGCCGATTCACGTAACAAATCTATTAAGGTATTTTCTCCAAGGGGCCATTTTCTGCGCAAAATTCGCACAACTGTCACCTTTCCCTTTCACTGTATTCAGCATGACAACTATCTTGTACTGTCGGACTATGAGGAAAATTGTGTTGAAGTTTTAAATGTGGAGGGAGCGGTTATGTGTAAGTTTGGAGCAGGTTATGGAGACGGGGAGTTCAATTCACCTTTTTGTTTATCAGTTACCAAAGCAGAACATTTGATTGTCTGTGATGGAGGTAACCACAGGGTACAGGTGTTTGAAATAACTGGAAAGTTTGTAACTAAGTTTGGAAGCTTCGGTAGTGGCAAAGGAAAGCTTAATGTACCAGTTTCAGCAGCAGTCTTAAGCGACGGTAAGGTAGTTGTCTCTGACTTCCTTAACCACCGTGTTCAGGTATTTGAATAAAGCCGAGGGGTACTCCCCGGGAGGCTCCGCCCGAAAAAGGGGCCTTTTTCACAGCTATATAAAAGGGTAGGGATGTCACTAGTTCACGTATGTGTCTGTAAAAAGACCCAAAAGGGCTTACAGATGCATTTTATGGTTGGGAAATGACAAGAAAACGTCCTGTTTCATTGATTTATTCATGTTTAAAAGACAGGGGCACCCAACGTCAATTTTTGGAAAATACCTGTTCGGACGACGATTTCAGATCTAGAATTTTCGGAACATTTGCTGTAAAATTTCTTGCTTGCCCGCCTCTCCTAAGATTTTCGAACATCTATAAAATGGTATAATTGCCCATTTTTAACGGATTTTTCCCCTAGAAATGTCACCTAGAATTTTTGGGAGCCTTTTTTCTGGCTGAAATTTTCGAAAAGGTAAGTCTTGATTCCTATAATTTTCGGATCACTGGACTTTCAGCTTGGAAATCCGAACAGATGAGAAACTTTTAGGGGATAAAAATATGCCTATACATACCGTTTAAATACTAAAATACGTTCAACAGTGCTATGTTTAAGTGGTTTTGAACTATATTCTCGTTGGGTGCCCCTGAAAAGACGTTGCATTTACAGCAGTAAACGTTGTAAACTAGGTATGCGATAGCGGTACCATTTGTCAATTTATACTTGAACTTGGAAGGAATACGAAAGGGGTGCCTCTTCTGTCAAAATGTATAAAGGGCTAAGAGGCTAGACTTCGGAGAGGAACCTCTTCGTATAAAACGGATAGATATCGAAAGATAACAAATTTCGTACAAGGTAACAATAATGATAATAATTACTTGAAATAAGAATGTACAATAATGAAGCATGTTTTTCATCAGTCGTGGTTGCAGATGATAACTGCCTATTCCTGACCTTTTAAGCTGAAATCAGTAAATGAATAGTAAATGCTGTGATCACTGATCAGTGCCAGCATGTCAGCATATTTGAATTCGAATAAATGCAAAGCTCCTGTTGTATTATTTTTTTTATGTTCCACTTTGACGACAATGATCGAGCTCTGTCCGAACATTGCTAAAATACTTTGGGGGTCAAATCCAATGACAAATTTCTTGACTAGCTATCCTTTAATGGTGAAGTGATGAATAAAGTATCGAAAAGTAGAACTAGATTCGCCGAAAGGTGACCTCACCGGGCTACCCTAAAATCAGTGCTCATGAAAACGAGAAGTTTTGTAGAACGGACGGTGGTAAAACCAATTGTGACCTGAACGATGAAAGCGAAGATGTTGTTAGCGACCGCCATGTTGTTGTGGACGACGACAAATCACAAGTGGACACTCCTGAACTCTCAGAGACATCCAGCAACGAAACGGACCACTTTATTAAACCTATCTCCCCTCACTCTCTTGACGTAAATATTCTGAGTCTAATTAACGACCTAAGGACTGAGGTAACCAAACTTTGGAGCTGTGTGCAATCGACGCAATATGCAAATAACTCGAAGACTTTGCAAGAACTTGATGCTGTCAAGAACGAGAACCACACCTTACAACAAGAATTACAAGCCGCTAGAGTTCACTACACCGAGCTACAGAAAGAATTAAAAGCTATTCGAGAAGAAAGAGATTCATTGAAACTAGCGCTTCAAATAGTCTCCAAAGATTTGTATCACAATTCATTTGCCATGCAACCTGATAACTCCCGCGTTGACACGGAGTACCAGGATACTCAAGATTTTGTTTTGGTGGGAAAAAAGAAGAAGACCGGTGACCAACAAAACCAGCCTTCGACAGAGACAAACCAAGACGGGAGACATTCACAATCGAAGACGTTGTCATCATGCCAATTAAATACAGAGCGAACAAAAGGGAACTCAGGTGGTGGCCGAAGTACTCAACGCAAGCAAAGAGAGGTGTTCGTTGTTGGTGATTCCATCCTAAAGAACTTGCAAGGGAGGAAAATGTCAAGTAGTGCTAAGGTCAAGATTTCCTCTTTTCCGGGATGTTCGACTCAGGACATGAGAGATCACATTAGACCTATTTTACGGAAAAACCCAGACGAAATTGTACTTCACGTTGGTACCAATAGTCTTCGCTCATCCACATCCGCGCGCGAATGTGCTGAGGAGATCGTTAATTTAGCCCACATGATAAGCGACGAATCTTCGGCTAAATTGTCGATTTCTAGCCTTGTGTCTAGAGCAGACGAGGAGGCCCTTGGTGTCAAAGTCTCTGGTGTAAACAAGATACTAAGGAAATTTTGTAATCAAAATGACTGGGGCTATGTTGACCATTCCAACATCTCCGCCGACCACGACTTAAATAGAAGCGGTCTCCACTTGAATGCAAAAGGAACTGCTCGATTGGCTTCTAACTTTGTTAAATTTTTAAAATTAAGAGGAGATTAGAATACTGTCGAGCGGGAGTCCGACGAGGACATGCTTTCCAGGGAGTCCTGCAAGTACACTTTTAGTAAGGGTAAGCCATCAAAATTTTTAAATTCATTCGGTCGTGGTTTTGTCATGGCATCGCTTAACATAAACAGTTTACTCGCTCATATTGACGACCTTAGGATATTTGTGACTGATTCTAAAATTGATATACTTGCAATCAATGAGACAAAGCTAGACAGTTCCATTGGTGACTCCGAAATATCTCTACCAGGATTCGAAGTCGTTAGGAGGATCGTCCGGTGAATGGGAGATGCGGTGGCGGTGTTTGTATATATTTACGAAATAACATAAATTATCATATACGGCATGACTTAAGTGATAACCAACTCGAATGCCTTGTTATCGAAATTACTAGGCCGCATTCTAGACCCTTTTAGTAAGCACGTGGTACCGACCTCCAAGTTCCTCCCAGGACATTTTTAGTCGATTTGAAATCCTGGTGGATAAAATTGACTCGGAAAACAACGATTTCTACCTGCTGGGAGATCTGAACTGTGATATGTTGCACAATCGGTCAAACTACCACATTTCGTCCAATTTAACGAATATATTTGATATTTACGGATTGAGCCAAATGATCTCTGAACCAACCAGGATTACATCAACATCACGCACATTAATTGACCTTTGTATAACTAATTCTCCCGAAAAAATTGTTAACTCTGGTGTCGTTCATCTTGGGATTAGCGATCACTCACTGGTTTTTATGACTATAAAAATACGTTATGAACGTGTTGGCACGCACCGTACTATCGAAACTCGTGATTACAAAAAAATTGACAGCGACAAATTTTTAAATGACCTTGTTCAACAGCCATGGGATTTAATTAGCTTAGAGCCAAATCCAACTGCTATGTGGGATGCGTGGAAAACCCTGTTCATGGAAATTGTCGATAAACATGCCCCACTGAAAACAAAGCGGATCTCAAAAAAGCATTCTCCGTGGATTACATATGACCTGATGCGTAAAATCTATAAACGAAATTATTTGAAAAAGAAAGCTATTATTGAAAACAATGCGGCTAGTTGGGAACAATACAAGCAAGCGCGGAATGAAACTAACAATGCTATCAAATCAGCCAAACGTCAGTATTTTTGCACAACTTAGAGTTGAATAAAAAGAATTCGTCCAAAACTTGGAAGCTAATTAACGAACTGAGCTCGCGTAAATCTTGCACAAAACCGCAATATCACTGAAATTAAAACAGATAACGAAACTATAAATTCTGCGCCTGAAATTGCAGAAGCTTTTAATAACTTTTTTCACCTCTATTGGACCAAATCTAGCCAGTAAATTATCACCATCTAATATCGACCCTGAAAGTTATTTACAACCCACTAAAAAGCCTTCTCCTTAAGGGCTCTTAGTGTCACAACTGTGTGTGAACTACTAAGTGAGCTTGACGAAAAGAAAGCCATGGGATTGGACGGAGTTCCTTGTAAACTTCTGAAATTAGCCAGTTCCATTATTGGACCATCATTAACGAAAATTTTTAATAGCTGTATAGAAACAGAAACCTTTCCAGATGAATGGAAAATCGCCAAGGTGACTCCTATCTTTAAAAAAGGATCAAAATCTGACCTGAATAACTATAGACCAATTTCTGTATTGCCAATTGTCTCAAAGCTATTCGAGAAAATTATCTATCAACAACTCTACGATTACCTAGATAAAAACAAACATTTGAATACTTATCAATCCGGCTTTCGATCGCTCCATAGCACCATGACGGCGCTACTTGAATCAACGAACAACTGGTCTATTAACATAGATAACGGCCTTTTAAATGGTGTGGTATATATCGACCTTAAAAAGGCTTTTGACACCATTGACCATGCAATTTTGTTACATAAACTTGCAAACTATGGACTTGATCTGGGTTCCCTACGATTCTTTGCCTCCTACCTAGGTAACAGGAGCCAGAAATGTTATGTTAATGGCGTATTGTCCAGTGCAAGCGAACTAAGATGCGGAGTCCCACAGGGTAGTATTCTCGGTCCTTTGTTCTTCTTAATCTATATAAACGATCTTCCAAACTGCCTTAATTCAGCATGCGCTAAAATGTTCGCAGATGATACAACTATTACCATTTCTGGTTCCTCTCTAGCTGACCTTGAACAAGAGACTAACTTAGAACTACTGAACCTTCACTGTTGGCTAAAAGCCAATAAGCTTAGTCTTAATGTTGCGAAAACCGAGTTTATGGTTATTGGCTCTCGCCAGAAGCTTCTCGCGGAAAGCCATAACGAAATAAACATCAAACTAGAAGACCAAGTTATCAGCAATGTTGATCACGCAAAATCATTAGGTCTCATTATTGACAATCGGCTTTCCTGGTCTAATCATGTTAACGAATTGTGTAAGAAGGTAACTTCGGCTATAGGTGCCCTTAGACGTATTAGGCCCCTTATCTCCCAATCTACTGCGGTACTAGTCTATAACTCCTTAATTCAACCTCACTTTGATTACTGTAGCCTTGTTTGGGATGGCTTAAGTGATCAACTGAGTGACAAATTACAAAAGTTACAGAACCGTGCAGCTAGAGTAATTTTAAAGGCCAACTATGG